TGTTATTATTATCATTTCTTTCTGTCTTTATTTCTTTCTCCTACGGCAACATAAAAAATTTTCAACTTATGTCTTTTTCTTTATTATTCTATTTTCATAAACAAATAAATTAACGCAACCGGCCTAGATGTAGAAATCCTCCGAAAGAATAAAAGAATTCCTCCCGAGAGGAATCGAAGTAATTTCTATCTGTCAGAAAAAAAAAAACTGTTATCGCCAAAGCCTAACCTTACCAATTAGGCCACAGGACACCAACCTGAATAAAAAAAAAAAAAAACTCAATTATCTACTTAATGAATATATTAGGTTATTATCTACTCAATGAATATATTGGTTATGAATATATATGGAACGTTCATGACGGTATTAAATTGTTCAAACTCGTTAGAATACGTCAAATTTATCGACAAATACAATATGCTTATATTTCCGATTAGAGCACGCACCAAACTATCTCTTGAGAAAGAAAGTTTCTTAATTACTTAATTCGTGTCAATTTTGCATCTCTTTGAAAATGGAAAATTATAAGGTGCATTTTAGACACTTCATTTTTTTTTACCGTAAAGGCAAAAATGGCTCGCAAGAATATAAAATAGCTGACAGAACTCTACGGAAGTGATTCACTAAGTTTAGAGTTGGTGAATGTAGCTTTATCGATGAAGAACGCTCACCCAGACGCCCACTCCCATTATAAATGACGACCAACTCAAGACACTGAGAATAAGCCGCTTTACACAACGCAGAAATTGGCAGAAACACTAAATTTATCAAAATCCAACATCCATGAGAATTAGTGAAGCTTGGGTACTCAAATCGCTACGATGTTTGGGTACCACAAGATCTGAGCGAAAATAGGCTTTTGAATCGCATTTCATATGCGATTTGTGATATAAACGCAATGGAAATACACCCTTTTTGAAGCATATTTTGACTGGTGGTGAGAAATGGATCGTTTATAACAATGTTCAGTGGAAAAAATTCTGGGGTAAGCGGCATGAGCCAACTTTAGTCACCTAAAGAGCAGGTCTTCATCCAACGAAAGTCATGCTGTTTATCTTGTGGAATTTGAAAGTAATCCTGAACTATGAGCTTCTTCCAAGTAACAAGTCAATTGTTTCTGAAAAGTAGTTCTCGAAACTGGACGAATTAAAGGCGGCAATTCAAGAAAAAAATCTTCTAGAATTGGCGAACAGGAAAGGTGCTGTTTTCTATGAGGATAGTGCCAGACCTTACGTTTGTTTGGCGACACGGCAAAAACTGTTGCAGATTGGCTGGAATATGTTACTCCACCTGCGATATTTTCTAGATATTGCTCCTTCGGATTCTCATTTATTCAGGTTCTTGCAAAATAATTTCATCGGTAAAAAATTTAATTCTTTGGATGACATAAGAAATTCTTTAATGATTTCTCACGAGAGACTACCGAAATTCTGCGAAGATGGAATCTTTAAATGGAAAGAAAAATGGAGTAGAAGAAGAAGAATGGGGAGAGCCTCACTTTGACGTCCAAATTCGCCATCATTGTCCATTTTCCCGCTCTCATGAAAACTCCAAAATATATTCGCTCATACCTCAAACCAGACCTGTTCCAGCGTTTCCCTATCAACTTCCTCCATTCTATTTGACTTTCCTTTCCCTGTTTCATTTTCAATTTGCTTGGCTCTTGCAGTTGGCATTTAGTTTTCTTTAGTTGTTTGTTTGGTGTTTTTTTCTTTTAGTTTTTTTCTCTCTTATCACTTTCACCTTCTTTTTAGAGAAGGGCTTACGCTAACGAATATTAATTAATTAATGTTTGTTTAATTATTTTTAATAAATTAAATCGTAGAGTAATTTATTTTTTAATAAATTAAAAATATTCACTATTTAAGATTTTAATCCTTAACGAATTACTTTCATTCGAGTTTAAGAAAAAAGTTACGTTTTCCTAATGCTGTGTTGTCCTGATCCTGAGGTGCCTCAGTCCTGAGTTTTCCCTGGTGATCAGTCGGCAATATTCAACCGGCAGAGTCCTTTCCCAACGTAGAGGGTTTACTAACTGAGATTGTAAGGAAATGAGGATAAGAAATTATTAGGAGGATCAGTAGGATATATATCGGTTGTTCGTCGATTTAAAGAGACCAAGATTGTAGTTGTTGATTGATTTGCTTCTGAGTTGTTAGTCGGTGGTGCTGAGTCAGCGGTGTTGAGTTGGCGGTGCTGAGATGTCATGTAACCGTCTACGGTGAGTCGTTTTTCGGATTGTATTGGTTGAATTATATATATCAGTTGTTCGTGGATTTAAAGAGATCAAAATTGTAGTTGATGATTGATTTGCTTCTGAGTTGTTAGTCGGTGGTGCTGAGTCAGCGGTGTTGAGTTGGCGGTGCTGAGATGTCATGTAACCGTCTACGGTGAGTCGCTTTTCGGACTTGTATTGGTTGAATTATATATATCAGTTGTTCGTGGATTTAAAGAGATCAAAATTGTAGTTGTTGATTGATTTGTTTCTGAGTTGTCAATCGGTGGTGGTGAGTCGGCGGTGTTGAATTGGCGGTGTTCAGTTTTCCTGCACCTTATGAAATTATTAACATCATTAAAAGAACAATAATATGAACATATTAATATGCAACAACAACACAGTTATTATTATTTAAATTATTTAATTTATTAAAAGATAAATTACATTAGATTTAATTTATTCAAAATGATTTTAAAAAAATAACTGCTTCATTTTGTTTTGTATTTTACACTAAAAACTAGTGTGTTTTATTGAATTATTTTTTATATATCAATTTACTTTATTAAAATAAATTACGTTACGACTTACTTTATTAAAAACTAGCAGCATGGCCCGTGCTTGATTCAAAAATCGTACGACTCATACAGCAATCGCTGTCACTTGACTTAAAATATCTTTGCCCTTCCTTGCCTTTAAAGGAGTTCCCTTTGCCGTGCTGATGTTGCTACATGCCTTACTTCTTGCCTATCTCACACTGCGAATTTTTTCTAAGCTCTATACTAAACATTAAATCTGTTACAAAAAAAGAACTAAACAAAATGAACACAAAACGATCAGCATTAAAAAAGGACTCGTAACTGGAAAAACCGAATGAAAAAAGAATGTTAACAACAAATACTTTTTCACACCCAACCAAGTTCTGCGGAATCAGAATCAATGTTGAGTTTAAGCAAGCGAATGAGCCAATTGGAGTAAAGTGCCATGCAGATTTAAATTTTTCCCACTTGTGACGAAAGCAGCTATCGATTTTTTTTGCATGCTAGCATGCTACTTAACATTCGTGTCAGTCAGCTGTTGGCTCTCACGCTGGCCAATAGAATCTTCCTGCCTATTCGTGGCAGCCAGCTATAGGCTCTCACTCTGGCCAGTACAAAATGGCCGCAAACTACATGAAAACTGCTGTAGAAGCATGAAAAAATCGATTATTTCCCCTATCGATGGGAGTTGGGAAATGCAAAGTCGGTCTTGGCCTTCCCGCTAACTCGGAGCATGTGCATGTAAAATTTGGTGCAAATCTTTCGAAAAGTGTGGCCGTGCATTCGTTAAACACACACACACACACACACACACACACACACATCCTGCCTTTTAGAGATAGAGATAAGTTAACAGGCTGTATCCCTCTACTTTGAGTCACACTTCGGACTTGTATTGGTTGAATTATCAATAAAAATAATTTCATGGCGTAGTGCTGAAAAGTTTTAGCTTATATTTGTTTTAAACAAGAATATAAGTTTATGGTATTCAAGAATGTAATCAATACAGGAGTAACTAAATATGAGACTCGTTTGCCAATCAGTGCTCTACGGCAGTAGGCTCACGATACATTTCAGGAGTTGTTTTCTTTTATTCAATTTAAAAGAAATACTAGTCTACTACTTTTTTTTTGTTACTGATCTGATCACAGCTAATTCGGCCATTTTTATTTCTTTCATCCTTATTTTTGTTTATTTTAACGTTTCATTAAAAAAAGCACCCATCTGCTTCCTTCTTGCTTTATTTTGCTTCTTTCGGTCCTTTTTTTCTTTCCTTTCTTCTCTCCTATCCTTTCCAAGATACTCCATCATTCATCATTCAGAAACAATGAGGAGAGCCTCACTTTGACGCCCAAATTCGCCATCATTCTCCACTTTCCCGCTCTCAAGAAAACTCCAAACTATATTCGCTCATACCTCAAACCAGACCCGTTCCAGCGTTTCCCTATCAACTTCCTCCATTCTATTTGACTTTCCTTTCCCTGTTTCATTTTCAATTTGCTTGGCTCTTGCAGTTGGCATTTAGTTTTCTTTAGTTGTTTGTTTGGTGTTTTTTTCTTTTAGTTTTTTCCTCTCTTATCACTTTCACCTTCTTTTTAGAGAAGGGCTTACGCTAACGAATATTTATTGGCAGTCATTAGGTCCTCTCCTTTAGTAAAGGTCATCACCTCCTCCCCTTTCTTTAGATCGGCAATTAATCTTACTCAAGCTGCAGCCAGAAATAGATGGATAGGGAGAGACAGACAGACAGACTGAAGGACTGACAGACACGGGGAAGTAATGTTCGCGATAGGAAGGTGAAAAAAGAGAAAGCAAAGATAGATAGATAGATAGATAGATAGATAGATAGATAGATAGATAGATAGATAGATAGATCATTTGGATGGATAGATATGAACATAGATATGAAAACAGACAGATATGAAAACAACTGCATATTTAGATAGATAGAAAGATAGATAGATATGAAATCATTTTAATGGATAGATATGAACATAAATAAATATATAGACAAATATGAAATCAGTTACATATTTAGATTAGATTAGATTAGATAGATAGATAGAAAGATAGATAGACAGATAGATAGATATGAAATCAACTGCACATTTAGATAGATAGATAGATATGAAATTAATTGCACATTTAGATAGATAGATAGATAGATAGATATGAAATCATTTTAATGGATAGATATGAACATAAATAAATATATAGACAAATATGAAATCAGTTACATATTTAGATTAGATTAGATTAGATAGATAGATAGATAGATAGATAGATAGATAGGTAGATATGAAATCAACTGCACATTTAGATAGATAGATAGATAGATATGAAATCAACTGCACATTTAGATAGATAGATAGATAGATACGAACAGACTTAAATAGATACGAATAAACTGAGATAGATAGATAGATAGATAGATAGATAGATAGATACGAACAGAATGAGATAGATAGTAGAAAGAAAGAAAGAAAAAAATGGTTTGTTATATAAAGATAGTTACGAAGTTTGCTACACAGTAATATATGAATATAAGACTGAAGCAAAATGGATTTCGCCAGTGTTATCAGAAGAACAATTTTATTTGAAGAAACCAAAATTTACATCAAAATGAAACGTATTTTACATTAAACACCCAAAATCTTAAATTGCTGCTTAAATTTAAAGTTATAGCAATAAATTATAACAAATTTCATGCCCTTTCAATTTCTAACTTTCAATAACGTTACATTTGGTTGTTACAACCAGAAATGCTTTTTTGTTTGTATAAAACAATTTTTCAGATGACACCTGATTATTTGCGAAACGTGACGCTTTCAAGTTTTCCAAAATGTCTTCTATATTTTCCAACACATTAGATTTCATATATTTTAACTTGTCGTGGTCTGAAAGAAAGAGAGAAATGGGCGGATATATTTAGTCTTGAATTAGGAATAATTATGGGAAATCTTGGATAATCCACTAGTCGGCTTGATAGGTATCTTACTTCAAACCGACCAGTATGGATAGGGAAATAGATATTAACCCTAAATAGTGTTAATGACTAAAATAGATAGATAGATAGATAGATAGATAGATAGATAGATAGATAGATAGATAGATAGATAGATAGATAGATAGGAAGAAAGAGTTTGTTAGATTAGATAGATACGAAAATGGTTTAGTTCGCTACGCGGTAATATATGAACCGACTGATAAGGATAGGCAAATAGATATTAGCAGACTAAGATAGATAGATAGATAGATAGATAGATAGATAGATAGATAGATAGATAGATAGATAGGAATAAATGATATATTTATGAAAAAAACATCCGAAAAAGATAGATAGATAGATAGATAGATAGATAGATAGATAGATAGATAGGAAAATGAAAGACGACCAGTCGCACAGACATAGATAGATAGATAGAGAGAGAGAGAGAGAGAGAGAGAGAGAGAGAGAGAGAAAGTGAGATGGAGAAAGAAAGAAAGAAAGAAAGAAAGACAGATTGAGACATATAGGGAGAAAGAAGGTATAGTATGCAAGAATTAATGTAAGGATAGATAGATAGATAGATAGATAGATAGATAGATAGATAGATAGATAGGAGTAAATAATACATCTACGAACAAACCTCCGAAGAAAGAAAGTAAGGATAGATAGATAGATAGATAGATAGATAGATAAGAGTAAATAATGCATCTACGAACAAACCACCGAAGAAAGATAGATAGATAGATAGATAGATAGATAGATAGATAGATAGATAGATAGATAGATAGGGGCAAATAATACATCTACGAACAAAACTCCGAAGAAAGAAAGTAAGGATAGATAGATAGATAGATAGATAGATAGATAGATAGACAGATAGATAGATAGATTGGCACTATATTAAATGCTGCGTAGTAGCCTATTACTCCAAGAATAAGCTTGAAACTAAAAAGAAAAAGAAAAAAAATGCTTTTAAATGAGTTTCTATCTTGGTTGTGAATGTTTCCACATGATATATTGTTTAAAGTAAGGCTTATTCGTTTGACACAGACTAATGTACAACGGTACAGATATAGTATGATAGATAAACTGAGTGCGCTTGCACGAAAGCATGCTCAAATTTGGATCAGAATAAATGCAGTACATTTGTTGATAAAATTGCACATTTCCTGAGGTCGTTGTTAAAGCCAACAGAAAAAAAGGGAAAACTAAATAGAATTATCTACAGGATTTTCGAAAGGGCCTAATTGTTACTCGTAAGAATTACATAAAACAAAATTTCAGTAAGATTGATTTCACGTTATATTGCATGTCGTACAAAGCTAATATTAGTTTATATTGATGGGATTTCTAGGTCCCTAAGGAGTAAAAAGAAACCTGTTAGTATAATAAAATTAATGATAATGTCTACTCTAAGGGAATTTAAGATCCTACCAGGATTTATTATCGTAACAATATAAGATAAGCGTATGACACTGAAAGGAAACTACAGGACTTCATAGAGAGGGCAATAGAAGAAAGCGAGGAAAAAAGGAATATCAAAGAGAAGAAGATAGAACATATGAACTCCTCAAAGATTAAGGAGACTAAAACAGAAAAAGAAGGATGCTGAGGATACCATGGACAGAACATGTGAGCAAATGAAAGTTTACTTAACATCAGGAAGAGACAGTTGAAATTTCTACAGAAGGATGCTGAATACCATGGACCGAACATGAGCAATGACGAGGTTTTAGGAGAAAATGGAAAAAAAAAGGAAACTTATATAACATCAGGAAGAGACAGTTGAAATTTCTACAGAAGGATGCTGAGGATACCATGGACCGAACATATGAGCAACGACGAGGTTTGAGAGAAAATGGAAACAAAAAGGAAACTTATACTTAACATCAGGAAGAGACAGTTGAAATTTCTACAGAAGGATGCTGAGGATCATGGAATAAATGAGCAACGATGAAGTTTTAGAGGAAATGGAAACAAAAAAGGAAACTTATACATTTAACATCAGGAAGAGACAGTTGAAATTTTACAGAAGGATGCTGAGGAATCATGGACCGAAATGGGAGCAAAGATGATGTTTTAGAGAAAATGGAAACAAAAAGGAAACTTATACTTAATATCAGGAAGAGACAGTTGAAATTTCTACAGAAGGATGCTGAGGATACCATGGACCGAACATGTGAGCAACGACGAGGTTTTAGAGAAAATGGAAACAAAAAGAAGAAACTTATACTTAACATCAGGAAGAGACAGTTGAAATTTCTACAGAAGGATGCTGAGGATACCATGAACATGTGAGCAAAGACGAGGTTTTAGAGAAAATGGAAACAAAAAGGAAACTTGTTTAACATCAGGAAGAGACAGTCGAAATTTCTACAGAAGGATGCTGAGGATACCATGGACCAAACATGTGAGCAACAACGAGGTTTTAGAGAAAATGGAAAAAAAAAAGGAAACTTATACTTAACATCAGGAAGAGACAGTTGAAATTTCTACAGAAGGATGCTGAGGATATCATGGACCGAACAATGAGCAACGATGAAGTTTTAGAGGAAATGGAACAAAAAGGAAACTTATACTTAACATCAGGAAGAGACAGTTGAAATTTCTACAGAAGGATGCTGAGGAGGATATCATGGACCGAACATGTGAGCAAAGATGATGTTTTAGAGAAAATGGAAAAAAAAGGAAACTTATACTTAATGTCAGGAAGAGACAGTTGAAATTTCTACAGAAGGATGCTGAGGATACTATGGACCGAAATGTGAGCAACGACGAGGTTTTTGGAGAAAATGGAAACCAAAAAGGAAACTTATACTTAACATCAGGAAGAGACAGTTGAAATATCTACAGAAGGATGCTGAGGATACCATGGACCGAACATGTTAGCAACGACAAGATTTTAGAGAAAATGGAAACAAAAAGGAAATTTATACTTAACATCAGGAAGAGACAGTTGAAATTTCTACAGAAGGATGCTGAGGATAGCATGGACCGAACAGGTGAGCAACGACGAGGTTTTAGAGAAAATAGAAACAAAAAGGAAATTTATACTTAACATCAGGAAGAGACAGTTGAAATTTCTACAGAAGGATGCTGAGGATACCATGGACCGAACATGTGAGCAACGACGAGGTTTTAGAGAAAATGGAAACAAAAAAAGGAAACTTATACTTAACATCAGGAAGAGACAGTTGAAATTTCTACAGAAGGATGCTGAGGATACCATGGACCGAACATGTGAGCAACAACGAGGTTTTAGAGAAAATGGAAACAAAAGGAAATTTATACTTAACATCAGGAAGAGACAGTTGAAATTTCTACAGAAGGATGCTGAGGATACCATGGACCGAACATGTGAGCAACGACGAGGTTTTAGAGAAAATGGAAACAAAGAAGAAACTTATACTTAACATCAGGAAGAGACAGTTGAAATTTCTACAGAAGGATGCTGAGGATACCATGGACCGAACATGTGAGTAACGACGAGGTTTTAGAGAAAATGGAAACAAAAAAGGAAACTTATACTTAACATCAGGAAGAGACAGTTGAAATTTCTACAGAAGGATGCTGAGGATACCATGGACCGAACATGTGAGCAACGATGAGGTTTTAGAGAAAATGGAAACAAAAAAGGAAACTTATACTTAACATCAGGAAGAGACAGTTGAAATATCTACAGAAGGATGCTGAGGATACCATGGACCGAACATGTGAGCAACAACGAGGTTTTAGAGAAAATGGAAACAAAAAAGGAAACTTATACTTAACATCAGGAAGAGACAGTTGAAATTTCTACAGAAGGATGCTGAGGATACCATGGACCGAACATGTGAGCAACGACGAGGTTTTAGAGAAAATGGAAACAAAAAAGAAACTTATACTTAACATCAGGAAGAGACAGTTGAAATTTCTACAGAAGGATGCTGAGGATACCATGGACCGAACATGTGAGCAACGACGAGGTTTTAGAGAAAATGGAAACAAAAAGGAAACTTATACTTAATGTCAGGAAGAGACAGTTGAAATTTCTACAGAAGGATGCTGAGGATAACATGGACCGAACATGTGAGCAACGATGAGGTTTTAGAGAAAATGGAAACAAAAAAAGGAAACTTATACTTAACATCAGGAAGAGACAGTTGAAATTTCTACAGAAGGATGCTGAGGATACCATGGACCGAACATGTGAGCAACGACGAGGTTTTAGAGACAATGGAAACAAAGAAGAAACTTATACTTAACATCAGGAAGAGACAGTTGAAACTTCTACAGAAGGATGCTGAGGATACCATGGGCCGAACATGTGAGCAAAGACGAGGTTTTAGAGAAAATGGAAACAAAGAAGAAACTTATACTTAACATCAGGAAGAGACAGTTGAAATTTCTACAGAAGGATGCTGAGGATACCATGGACCGAACATGTGAGCAAAGACGAGGTTTTAGAGAAAATGGAAACAAAAAAGGAAACTTATACTTAACATCAGGAAGAGACAGTTGAAATTTCTACAGAAGGATGCTGAGGATACCATGGACCGAACATGTGAGCAACGACGAGGTTTTAGAGAAAATGGAAACAAAGAAGAAACTTATACTTAACATCAGGAAGAGACAGTTGAAACTTCTACAGAAGGATGCTGAGGATACCATGGGCCGAACATGTGAGCAAAGACGAGGTTTTAGAGAAAATGGAAACAAAAAGGAAACTTATACTTAACATCAGGAAGAGACAGTCGAAATTTCTACAGAAGGATGCTGAGGATACCATGGACCGAACATGTGAGCAACAACGAGGTTTTAGAGAAAATGGAAACAAAAAAGGAAAACTTATACTTAACATCAGGAAGAGACAGTTGAAATTTCTACAGAAGGATGCTGAGGATACCATGGACCGAACATGTGAGCAACAACGAGGTTTTAGAGAAAATGGAAACAAAAAGGAAATTTATACTTAACATCAGGAAGAGACAGTTGAAATTTCTACAGAAGGATGCTGAGGATACCATGGACCGAACATGTGAGCAACGACGAGGTTTTAGAGACAATGGAAACAAAGAAGAAACTTATACTTAACATCAGGAAGAGACAGTTGAAATTTCTACAGAAGGATGCTGAGGATACCATGGACCGAACATGTGAGCAACGACGAGGTTTTAGAGAAAATGGAAACAAAAAGGAAACTTATACTTAACATCAGGAAGAGACAGTTGAAATTTCTACAGAAGGATGCTGAGGATACCATGGACCGAACATGTGAGCAACGATGAGGTTTTAGAGAAAATGGAAACAAAAAGGAAACTTATACTTAACATCAGGAAGAGACAGTTGAAATTTCTACAGAAGGATGCTGAGGATAACATGGACCGAACATGTGAGCAACGATGAGGTTTTAGAGAAAATGGAAACAAAAAGGAAACTTATACTTAACATCAGGAAGAGACAGTTGAAATATCTACAGAAGGATGCTGAGGATACCATGGACCGAACATGTGAGCAACAACGAGGTTTTAGAGAAAATGGAAACAAAAAGGAAATTTATACTTAACATCAGGAAGAGACAGTTGAAATTTCTACAGAAGGATGCTGAGGATACCATGGACCGAACATGTGAGCAAAGACGAGGTTTTAGAGAAAATGGAAACAAAAAGGAAACTTGTACTTAACATCAGGAAGAGACAGTCGAAATTTCTACAGAAGGATGCTGAGGATACCATGGACCGAACATGTGAGCAACAACGAGGTTTTAGAGAAAATGGAAACAAAAAGGAAACTTATACTTAACATCAGGAAGAGACAGTTGAAATTTCTACAGAAGGATGCTGAGGATACCATGGACCGAACATGTGAGCAAAGATGATGTTTTAGAGAAAATGGAAACAAAAGGAAACTTATACTTAACATCAGGAAGAGACAGTTGAAATTTCTACAGAAGGATGCTGAGGATATCATGGACCGAACATGTGAGCAAAGATGATGTTTTAGAGAAAATGGAAACAAAAAGGAAACTTATACTTAATATCAGGAAGAGACAGTTGAAATTTCTACAGAAGGATGCTGAGGATAACATGGACCGAACATGTGAGCAACGATGAGGTTTTAGAGAAAATGGAAAC